ATAAGGTTAGCACCTACTGCATGGGGTGGTTGGGAGGATAGGAGAGCATAGATATGAAGAGCCTGAAACCCTGTCCCAACACATAGTATGTCTAAAGAAACCATGTTTTTTATTTTTAAGGGTACCCCTCCGGGGCTTGGGAATGGGGTTTTTTCTGCGTTCCTGTATTCTTAAAACTCAGCAACTCTAAATGATGACACGCCTTTAGGGGAAAACTTCAGCAATCAGAGGAAAGAAAAGCCAGCCCGTTTCCTCATCCTCTGTTTCAGGATATAAAGTACATTTGGTTCTGTAACATTGAGTATTAAGAATGAACGGTGAAGATCGTATGTACTGATTTCTGTTTAGAACCCACTTGGTCAAGTTTTGAAGACTAAAGGCTAAAGAGCAGGTCTTTCTGTATTCTGGGGGGTTTGCTGCTTCGTTGCCTTTTAGCAGTATTGTTTGGGAATTAGTCACAACTGTGTGAATAATATTTTGGAAAATTGCTTTCTCAGAAACATTAATCGTTCTTTTTTGAAAATGCGCATGAACAATCAGTCTGGCTGGATACTTGGGGAGGTCCTATAAGATGTAAAATGGTTTAAAGTGCTTTCCGTCTCAGAGAGTGCCTTCCGAAGTCCCTGAAAATGATATTGGATCTTGTGGGAGGAAATCTTTTCCAATTTTCTGGGTTTCTGTAAATAAATGTGAGTTATATGGTTATAAAACCTTATGTTGGAAAATATGTTTAAGAAACAGTAGCGCACTCCCCGGCAGGGACGGCATAAGAGATGCCTAACACATTTAATGCCCCAGTTAAGCGTATCGCCCAAGCCCCGATTTCTGGAACTGGCGACACAGACATCTTTTCTCTTTTTATTCAGAGCCTCCATTTCCCCCCCCTCCACCTAGCCACTTCAGCAGCACAATAAATGGAAACCTTATTTCCTGCATCTGCAGACCTATTTACCTGAATGTCTGAGCTCACCCTTGGCTTGCTCGGGTCTTTCTGAAATGTGCTTTTGCTTTCATCTCTCTGGCTCCATGGCCCTCGTTCTTTAAAGCCTCCTCTAATCCCGCACTCCGTGTACTTTAATCTGCAGGGCTGGACACGGCATTCTGCATAGCCGCCTTTAAGCATGCATTATCTCCCAGATTCCCGTTCCTTCTCATTGTGCGTTTAAACCCCTTTTCACAGTCTGTAAAAGTATGTGTGTGTGTGTGGGGGGGGGCGGGGGGGGACAAAATGAACTATTATCAAATCCACGTTTGCCAATTTAAAACACCTAATTGGATGGCTTTCTCCCCTTTGGTAGTTCCATTATCTTTGCAAACTGTGACTTGGGTTTGCAGGTCTTTGTGTGTATGTTTGTGAGTGTTTACTTACGTTTATTACAAATAGGAAGAACCTTATGCCCTGTGCCCTTTCTAGCCTTTTATTTTTGGAAATCAGAGAGTTTTGATGATTTTAAAATAAGAAAAGGGGTGTGTGTGTGTGTGTGTGTGTAAATGACAGACTGTATGTGACCTGTATAGCAAAAATGTGCTGACCCCTTATAGCAGGGGTGGGAATGTCCGGTCTGCAGGCCCTCAGAATCATTTATTTGGTCTGGCCCTGCCAAGGCATTAGGGGTGAGTTAATTAAATGTTTGACCAAATATAGCAGGCTAATTTTCAAGTTGATAATTTTGAATGGCCCACGAATGATGTTATAAATATCCAGATGGCCCTTGGCAGAAAAAAGGTTCCCCACCCCTGCCTTACAGATTTAACTCACTTAACAGCATGTCTGTTTAGGAGAATTTCCTGTTTTTCCCCCCAAAGTAAAGTTCTTAA